TAGTACAGAGGGTTCTCATATACCCTTCTCCAACGTCTCCTTAACATCTTAATGTAACCAGGTACATTTGTCAACACTAAAAATTAGCACTGGTTCCATGGTATTAACTAAAATCACAGGCTTTATTCGGATTTCCCCGATTTTTCATTCCAGGTTCAAATCCAAAGTACCACATCCCATTTAGATCTTTTACATTTACTTATTTACTTACTTATTTGTTTGTTTACCTACTTACTTATGAGATTGACTATCTTCTCAGCCAACTCTATAACGCTTCTCCTATGCAACCTGAGTGCTCGCATTTTATCCTCCTTCCCTTTCTGGGTACCGTTTCCACGTTACACTGGTGTCGGTCACGGATGTGGTTGTGACAAAAGAGAAAAGGAAGAAGAAAACCCATATGTGCCTCAGAGCTTGAGGGTGTGAGTCCAGGTGTCACTCTGCAGTGCCCTTGGGAGCTGCGATGCCACCAGCCCATGTGTTGGCTTGAGGGTGCCCTCTGGGCAGGCCGAGGTGGCAGAAGTCACTCACATTCCGGGATCCCTCTCCCTTGCCCCCTCAGGTCTCCAATAGCGCGGGCTCCATGTCGGTGTCGCTTGTGGCTGATGAGAACCCCTTCGCCCAGGGGGCCTTGAGGTCAGAGGACTGCTTCATCCTGGACCATGGCAAAGATGGGAAAATCTTTGTCTGGAAAGGTACTGGGGACGGGGGAAGGGCTCTGACAGGACCTTGGGCAGGGGGCCTGCAGCCTTGCAGCTCTCCTCTCGGGAGGGAAGGTGGAGTGTGTATTCCAGGTACCCTGAGGCAGTGGCATGCTCCTGAGTGGAAATCAGCACTCCTGAGCTAAAAGCCCTGGCTTTGCAATTGACTGGCTGTGTGATCTTGGGTCACTTTACTTATCTGTCTGGGTCTCAGAGTTCCTATTTGGGCTAAAACCAGTGTTTCCCAAATGTTTTAATAATACCAGTTTTTGGAGAGGCTAATTGGCATCACATAAACAAAATATGTAAAAAAATATATAGCTTTGTGGTCAAGCACGTTTATGGGCAACACTGGGTTAAATTATGTTGGTAGGTTTGTTTACTGGAGGACTTATAATAGCCTTTAAGTCGCTAATATATGTTGGGGTTTTTTGGAAAGGTGATCTGGTTTCTGTTTGGAAAACCCTGTGCTGGGGTCCACGGAACTCTCTGTGGACTGTCTTGGCTACTTACTGTGGGGGCTGCTGGGAAACGTTGGCCCAGGTGTTTCTGAGTGGATGCGTGGGCATCCTCCTCACATGCTCTACTATTAGTCCAGCAGAAGAGGACAGAGGGGAGGGAGGCAGTGGGTGCACAGAGAAATGGTAGAGACGGCGAGAGACAGACGGAGCACTTGTGGCTATCACTGTTACCATCTTGGCCCCTCAGCCTTGGCGATAAGAAGGCTGGGGTCTGAAGGCCAGGAGCTGTCCAAGCACGGGGAGGCTCTCAGGGTCTGGACAAATTTCAGGCTGTCAGATGGGAGGAGTCCCCCACTATGGACAGATGGCCTAGGGGCGAGCAGGGAGCGTGTGGTGTGTAGGCTTCAGAGTCGGTGGGGCAGACACAGCTTTCCCACGTGCTGAGTGGCCTTGTTCAAGTCATTTAACCTCTGTGAGACACTGGTTTCCTTTTATGGAAATGGGGACAGGATAATAATGATCTTTGTCACATAGTGTCAGTATGTGGATTAAACGAAATGATCTATGTATTATTCCTAGCACAAAACACATGCTCAGTAAATTGTCCACAACAGTTGCTGCGGTTGCTGTCATCAGCCAGGACCCCCAGCTAAGGGCTCTAGGAATGGTCAGCTCTGGTGGTGGGGGGAGTGGTCTCTGGCCTTGGCTGTCCGTAGTCTAAGAAGAATAAGCAGGGGAGGGGTTGGCTGCTACTTTCTCTGGACCGTTGAGCATCAGGGCACAGCAGTAACCCCAGGGTCCCCCTCCTCCATCTGCCAATAGGCAGGCAGGCCAACACGGAGGAGAGGAAGGCTGCGCTCAGAACGGCCTCCGACTTCATCTCCAAGATGAGCTACCCCAAGCAGACCCAGGTGAGTCTGGAGCCAGGTAGGAGAGTGAGAGTGGGCCCGGCTGGGGTGGGGTGGGCGTCCTACCCCGGTGTGCACGTAGCTGGCTCAGGCCCCCCTGAGGACCCCTGCTGGGCGGTACCTGTCCTGAGGGGGACCTGAGCCCAGCCACATCCTGCTCTTCCCTCCTCTTCCAGGTGTCTATCCTTCCCGAGGGTGGCGAGACCCCACTGTTCAAGCAGTTCTTCAAGAGCTGGCGGGACCCAGACCAGACGGACGGCCCCGGCTTGCCCTACCTCTCCAGCCACATCGCCAATGTGGAGCGGGTGCCCTTCGACGCTGCCACCCTGCACACCTCCACTGCCATGGCCGCCCAGCACGGCATGGATGACGACGGCACAGGCCAGAAACAGGTACCTGCGGGGCTGGGGTGGGCGTGTCCAGGCCCCCGCTTCGCTCCGTCCCTGGCCCCTCTGGCCCATGCATGGCCACATGGCCTCCTGCTGCCCTGAGGACTTTTTTCTATGAAGTTTTGACCACAGTTCTGGTGAATGAGGTTCTTTTGTCTTCATTTTTACCACCGACATACTCTGAACACCTGCCAGGCCCTGTACCAAGCGGTTCAGAACCCACCCTGCCTGTGAGGAGTGCCTGGTCTGGGAGGGGAGGGGACCATAGCCACAGCTGATTGCTCAGACCTGTGTGGTCAGCGAAAGATGGGAGGTAAGCACAGGGATTATGGGGACAGAGGAAGGACAGTGGAGGGTGAGAGTAGGGTGGTTGGGGTAGCCTTCACAGAGATGGGGACACTTTGGTTGGGCCTCAGAATATGAGTAGGAGTTTGCTGCCAGAGAGGACGAGTGGGCCCTCCGGGCAGGACGCGGTCCCGGAAGCCTGGTGCTGAGGGCGGCCTCAAGGAGGGGCCTCGAATGGTGTGCCCAAAGCTGTGGACTTCATCCTCTAACTAGTGGGTGCTACTGAGGGTTTGGTGTTTTTTTTTTCTCTCTTGAAAAGCAGAAATGTGACAGGCTCAGTTCTGTGCTTTCACAGATCTTTGTGAAAATGGGTTAGAGGCAGGAAAATGAAGGTAGACACTCCATGAGGAGATTGTTACAATAGTTTAGGGAAGAGAAGATGACCTTGAGACCAGGAAGTTCACAGTGAGGATGGAGAAGGGTGGGGTGGGATTCGGATCTGTTTCAGGCACACTTGGATTCCATTCCACATGATAGAAATAGCAAAAGCGTTCGTTTTTATTGATTATCGTTTGTGTCGTTGGCATTATTATTCATTCATTCTGTCAGTCAGTCATTCATTACTTGAGTGGGAGGGGAGGAAGCAGTGGAAATGTTCAGGGCAGGGCAGTGTGGAAAGAGCCCTGGCAGCCTGGCTGTGTGACCTTGGGTGAGGTACTTAACTTCTTTGAGCCTCACTTTCCTCACCTGTAAAATGGGGTTTAATTCCACTCCATCACCTTCAAAATTTTTCAAGGTCCAGAGATTCTGGGAGTCTGAGGGCTCAATGTCTCTGCAGCACCACCAGGTGGCTGCACGGCCTCATGACCACCTGGGAAAATCGTGTCACCATAGCTCTGCAAAGAGATCTGCCAGCAGGAGTCATTCTGGGGTCACCTTGCGATGGCCCTGCTTCTGCAGGTGATCTATAAAGTCCACACAATTCAATAATGATACAGATAATGGTAATATTAGTAATAACAATAATAATTCTAATAATAAGAGTTAGCTGCCACCTATAGAGCTATCACCCTGTGCTAGACTTTCATGAATAAACTCATTTGATCCTCACAACAACGTTTCGAGATAGGTACTCTTGCTATTTCCATTTTTCAGATGAGGAAACTGAGGTTCAAAGAGTTTAAGCAAGTTGTCCTAGGTCACACAACCTCTAAGGGGGTGGCGGCTGATTTGGTTCCAGGTCACCTGTTGATTTGTGCTCACAGCCCTCACTGTGTTATGCTTGCTAAGCGCACAATCTCTATACTGCACGCAGCTACCAGTCCCCGTGCTGATTCCTCCGAGAAGGAAGCAGGGGGTGGGGCGGGAGTTCGGTGTAAGGATCCTTAGCAGGGTACCTGGGTTTGAATCCCAGTGGCTCTGTGATTTGGCCAAATTATTTGGCTTTAGTCTAAGCTCAGGTGGAGCAACTTACGAAACTCTTGTCCCATTGTGGAACCACAAGGTGGTTTCCAAGCTGGCCCGAGTTGGGGGGTGGGGGTGCCATACCCTGTTAAGCCCAGCTTTGCTCTGGCAGATCTGGAGAATTGAAGGCTCCGACAAAGTGCCGGTGGACCCCTCCACGTATGGGCAGTTCTACGGTGGGGACAGCTACATCATCCTGTACAACTACCGTCATGGCAGCCGCCAGGGACAGATCATCTACAACTGGTGAGGAGCTTGGGCCTTGTGCTGTGGGGCGGAGCGTGGGGGGCACTGCCCTGAACCTGGGCATGGCAACGAGTGTGGGAGTAAACAGGATGTCTGTGGATGTGTGGGCTTGAGGTGGGGCAACGCTCTGCTGGGAAAGGCTCTCACGGAGCAGCACCACTTGTCTTATTTCTAAAAGGACTTATTGTTTTAAAGAAATTCTATTGGGGAACAGTGTGTTTGTTCTTCCAGGACTCATCAGCTCCAAGTCAAGTAGCTGTTTCAATCTAGTTGTGGAGGGCGCAGCTCCTTGGCCCGTGTGGGAATTGAACCGGCAACCCTGGGGTTATGAGCCTGCACTCTCACCACCTGAGCTAACCAGCCGCCCCTTAAAAGAACTTTTAAACTATTCTTATAAACCATCACATGGCCATTGTAGGAGATGTGAATAGGGATGGGGAAGGGAGGAACAAACAAGCAGAAAACCTCTCCCGCAGTTCTGTCCTAAGTACTGAGCACACACGTATTTATCCTCCTGCCTGTTTTCTAATTAAAACTTATTTTTGATTCTTTAAAAATAGATCATGCATTTATGTAATTAAAAAACAAATACAGGATAAAAAGGTATCTGTTGAGAAATCTTGTTCTCACCCCACCCCTCTACCAACCCCCGAACCCTTTGTGGGTAATTGCTTTTATTAGTTTCTTGTCTATCCATGCAGTAATTCTTCATGCAAACATAAGCAAATATGACCCAAGATTCCTAGATTCCTAGTTCTGTCCCTTCCTTACACAATAGATAGCCTGCTTTGTGTGTCCTGCACTTTACTTTTCTCCTTTATCCTTCCTGGAGATCAATTGTGTCAGCACACAGAGCCTCCTTACTCTCTTATTTATTTATTTATTTTTTATTTTTTATAGTTGCATAATAGTCCACAGTATGGCTGAACTGTAGTTTGTTTAACAGATTCCCTGCTGGCACAGTCTTGGACTGGTTCCAGTTGTTGGCTATTACAAGCATCTCTGAGATTAGAAACCTTAAACAAATGTCATGTTGAATGCATAGAGCAATGTCTGTAGAGTAAGTTCCCAGAAGTTGGATCGCTGGGTCAAAGAGTACAGGCCCTGGTCATTTGGATGGATAGCGCCCGGTTTCCCTAGATAAGGTTTGTAGCATTTTTTGCAGCAACGAGTGAGTGCGTTTGCTTCCTAGCAGCCTCACCAGTGGATTGTCTTATCCAACTTTTGTATGTTTTTCAACCTTATAGTTTATGAAATGGTATCTTAGTACATTTTTCATTTGTATTTCTCTTACTCTGCAATCTCAAACTTTTTGATGATTGACTGTTGGATTTCTTCTTTTTGAAAGTTTTTATTTTGAAACAACTTTAGACTTCTTGAAAAGTTGCAGAATAGTACAGACAGTCCCCATATAACCATTACACAGTTGCCTCTACGTTCGCATCGAACTGAACTATATTACGATTATCGAAACCAGGAAATTGATATCGATACCATATTGTTTACTAATCTATAGACCTTACTTGAGTTTCGCCAGTTTTCCCACTGATATCCTTTTCCTGGTTTGGGATCTAACCCAGGATCCCGCATGCCATTTAGTCATCGCATCTCCTTAGTGGCATCTAATCATCATGTCTGATCTAATCTGGGACAGTTCCTCAGTCTTTCTTAATTAGCTGCATCAGCCCATTGATTTGTCACATTTTGTTTGCTTATATCAGATAACATGTTGGTTATGGGAATTTAGACAGTCTGGGGAAAGGTGGACAGAAAGCCACCCCCCTCCCAAACCTCCCCCCTCAGGGCTGTCACCACTGGCCTTTTGGGGACCGTCCATGCAGACCTCTCCGCATGTACCCACGTGAGGCTAAACTGACTGATGTCTTTTCCAGCCAGTGCCCTCATGTCGCACTTGCTCCTTTCTGGCCTGCCTTTCCACCCTGGGGAGTGTCCCGGCCACGTTTCTGCATCTTGGGCTTGAATCTCAGAGCCCCTTGTCTCGTGGCTACCTAGCCTGGGGTGAGCCAGGTGGGTCCCCACGGGGCACATTTAGGGGAAGGAAGGCCCCTGGTTGTGCTCGGTTCTCTATAAGAAGGCCTGCGGCTGAGCTGGGGTGTGGCATGGTGGTTTGACTTCTGGCTGTGGTTGCTCTTCAGAGAATCCCTTGCCTTCTCTGTATGTCAGCTTCGATACCTGTAAACCTGTAATCTGGAGATTTGTGCGTTTCTCAGGCCCAGGGCAAAGGAGAGAATGGGGACTGTGTGAACCCCAGTGCTGAGTATCACTTCCTTTTCCAGGCAGGGCGCCCAGTCCACCCAGGATGAGGTTGCTGCTTCTGCCATCCTGACCGCCCAGCTGGATGAGGAGTTGGGAGGTAGCCCTGTCCAGGTGAGTCCCTCCCGCTGCCCCCTCTGGGGGCATACCCCTCTGCATACCCTGGGCCTTGTCCATCTGTCCACTCACCCATCTGTCCATCCATCCATCCAACAAACATTTATGAGGGCTCCCCTGTGCCTGGCACTGTGACTGCAGCCACAAACACACAGACCCGCCCCCGCCCCGATGGGGTTTACAGTCAAGGGGGAGAAAGACGTTCAACAGACATGCGCTCAAATGGGTGCATACATAACCACACACTGGCGATCAGGTCACACATTGCGACGTGTGCAGTGAGTCAAAATGATAAGACGCTGTGGGAGAGAAGCCAGAGAGGCAGCAGGCGGAACGGTTCAGAGCGTGGGCATGGAGGCAGCCTGCTCGGTTTAAATCCCGTCTCACGTGTGGGCGACCTTGGGCAAGTCACTTAGCCTCTGTGCCTCTGCGTTCTCAGACTGGGGATAACAGCACCTATCTGACAGGAGTGTTGTGCAGATGAAGACTTAACATTTGTAAAGCACTTAGAGCTGTACCTGGCCCCTAATAGGCTCCTTCTATGTGCCTGTTGTGTATAAGGACATAGATCCCTGGTAGGATCTATAATAATTGGATTGGAAAAGCCCTCTTTCCCCCAAGGAAAGGACTTTTCAGCTGGGGCCTAACAGATGAGTAGGGGTTGTCCAGGCAAAGAGGGAAGGAAAGCACATGCCAGGCAGAGGGAAGAGTATATGCAAAGGCCCTGAGGTGGGAGGGAGCACTGGGTGTTAGAGCAAGGGGGAGAGTGCCATGATAGGAGCCTGGAGAGGTGCCCAGAGGGGCCAGACCATGCAGAAGCCATGGTGGGGATGTTCACCTTGATCCTGAGGGCAAGGGGATGTTGCTAAAGGATAAATCTGACACGAGTGGATTTATAAGTCTCAAAGGTCATTCCGGCTATAGCGTAGGGCCCCGGAGGGCAGCAGAGCTAGGTTGGAAAGTTGAGAGGGAAGAAGACAACAGCTTTCCTTCCTCTGTCCTGCCCTTGGGGTGGGAGGGGCTCTAGATTCAGATCCAAGGTTGGGGCCCTGAACTTTGTGACAGTGGTGTCCTTTGGATGCCAGGTACTGAGTGGAATGATTGCTGCCTTAGGTCATTTGACCCCGACAATAGCCTTGGGAGGAGCATTCTTGGCTCTATTTTATAGAGGAAGAACCTGAGAGGTTGAGGCACGTGCCCGAATTCTCACCATCAGGGTGGCACTGGGATCTGAACTCTAGCCCAGCAGTGGTGGGTCATGCTGGGAATTGACCACAGTACCCCCAAACACACATGTGACATTTTCTTCTATTAGGTTGGTGCGAAAGTAATTGCTGTTTTTACCAAAACAGCAATTACTTTCACACAAACAAAAACAGCAATTACTTTCGCACCCACCTATTACATTTAGTGTTCGGGCCACAGCTGGGGTCTGGGTGTGAACACAGGCAGAAGCAGATGTGATATATCTTAGCACAGACCTTTTTGCCGTGCTCCCTCCCACCACCAGGCCCCACAGCAGCCTGCCTCTGGGGTGCACTGGCTGTGTGGGAGGGGACTCTGCAGATCTGGGGCTCCCTTCTCACCACTCCGCTGGCTCTCGTGCCTGGAGCCGATGTCACCATCCTGGGAGCCTGTCCATGCATAATCCCTGTGCTTCCATTTAAGGGAATATTTGCAAACATGGGCTGTCCTGGTTCTTGGACTAGACTCAGTGTCGGCAAGGCAGGTCCTCTTGGGAAGGGAGAGCAGCTGAGGCAGTACCCAGGGGAAGGCAGGCAATAGCGGCATCACCAGCCTTCCTGGAACTCCCCTGTCCCTGCCCAGCCCCTGGTCCTGTAGGGGCGCGCTCCACACCACCCCCAGACACAAGTGTGACAGCCTTGTTTGGGGTGGGTCTGGGCCGTGGTGGCCGGGGAGGGGTGTGAGCCTGGTGCCACACAGAAGGACCTGTGCCCCCTGCCCCTCTTCCCTGACTTGCTCTGCTGTCTCCCTGCCAGAGCCGTGTTGTCCAAGGCAAGGAGCCTGCCCACCTCATGAGCCTGTTTGGCGGGAAGCCCATGATCGTCTATAAGGGCGGCACCTCCCGCGAGGGCGGCCAGACGGCCCCCGCCAGTACCCGCCTCTTCCAGGTCCGGGCCAGCAGCTCTGGAGCCACCCGAGCCGTTGAGGTAACTTAACACCCAGGCACTGGACCCCAGGAGGACGTGGCCTCCGTGAAACCTCCCCGGCTTGACGGGCAGATCTCTGCACATAGGATTGGGTGGGATTGGGCGAAGGGTTAAGAAGCAGTTTTTTGTACCTTCCTCCCCGGGCAGCAGGATTGTATGCCTTACACTTCTCCTTGTTACAAGGATGCCCAGTGCCCCTTGCACATCTTCCATAATGGGCAGCTCACTACTCACAGGTAGTCCATTCTCCACAGTCTGGACACAATTCCTGATTATATTCCAATTGGCTACTTTCCCTTTTATGGTGGAAGGTGCAGACCTGAACATACTCCCACAGGACAGCCTGAGCAGCCAGAGGAGAATGGGACTATCACCTCCTTTATTCTGGGCACTCAACTTCTGTTAATGCAACCCAGAATTCTGGAATCACCTTGGCGAGCCACAGGGCATTAGGGACTCATGGAAGTCAACTAAGCCCCTCAAGTGTCCAAAGTCTGTGCCCTTGGCTGGGTTAGGGTGTGCTTCTCCAAGTCCCCACCTAAGCTTGTCCTGCTGTAGTGTTTCCTGGGCTGTGAGAAGGGGGCTGAAGGCTCTTGGTCTGGTTTCCGATTAATTGAGCGCTGTCCTCCCAGATACTCCCTAAGGCTGGTGCACTGAACTCCAACGATGCCTTTGTCTTGAAAACCCCCTCGGCCGCCTACCTATGGGTAGGTACAGGAGCCAGCGAGGCGGAGAAAACCGGGGCCCAGGAGCTGCTCAGGGTGCTGCGGGCCCAGCCTGTGCAGGTGGCAGAAGGCAGTGAGCCAGGTAGGGGCGAGGGTCAGAAGGGCCTGCTGCTCTTTGGGGATAAGTGGCATGTACCCCTCCTTCCTTCTGCTTGAGGGGGGCGGGGGGCTCTATCCTCATCCGTTCTCAATGCCTGTCCCCTCATGTGTGTTACATAAACATCAGTTGGGTGAAAATGAGGGCTATGGTGAGTGAGAGGGAGGCCTCCAGGAGTTAGAGAAAGGAGAGCTCAGTGTGGGCTGGGGCAGTCAGGGAAGGCTGCTGGAGGAGGCGGTCATTTGCTGGGAAGCCTTGAAAAACTGTAGGCAGGCGTGACAGCCTCGCAGGGACAGCAGTCTCTCCTAATCTTTAGAATCTCCATGCACGAAAGTGCCGCAGGCCTCCTCTGTTTCCAGAAGAGAGGTCAGGAACATCTTCCTTAGGCCAGCTCTCCATCTTCCAGCTCTTACTGTTAAGCCCACTCTCTCCTGCTTGATGCTTAACAGACCTGGAGAAGAGTAGCTCGGTCTAGAGCAGCACTGTCCATTGGAACCTTCTGAGAGGATGGACATGTTCTTTATCTGCCAGGTCCAATTTGGTGGCCACTAGTCAATGTGTGGCTAATGAGCACTTGAAATGTGACGTGGGAATCAGTTAGAATGAGGAAATGAATTTTTAATTGTATTTAATTTTAATGAATTTAAATGTAAGTAGTCTCAGGCATAGTGGAAAGAATAAGGGGATTGAAGTCTGACAAGATTTGCATCCTGGCTTTACCATTTACTAGCTGTGTGATATTGAGTGAGTTGCTTAACTTCTCTGAGCCCCATTCGCCTCATTTGTTGAGTGGGGATAATTATCCCCATCCCGCCGTGCTGTCGTCAGTCTCAAGCCAGAAGTAGTCCTGGCTGTGTGTCGAGTGCCAAGTCTGCCCTCTCTGGGCTCTATTTCATCACCTTCAAATCTCTCAGGGCCCTTCCTTCTTTGGCCCCCTGGGATTTTAAGATGGAGGGTGGAGATCGAGAGCAGTTGTTTGCTCTGAGTCAGGGTTTGTCCCAGCATCTGATGAGAAGTGCTAGGGAGGCAGTGGTGTCCCTTGGTAACTGGTGTGGCCTCCCCTCACAGACAGCTTCTGGGAGGCCCTGGGTGGGAAGGCCGCGTACCGCACGTCCCCAAGGCTGAAGGACAAGAAGATGGATGCCCACCCTCCTCGTCTCTTCGCCTGCACCAACAAGATCGGACGTTTTGTGGTGAGCCCCTGCTTTCCCCTGGGGAGGTGTGTTCTAAGGAGGGGGGACCATGGCAGCAGGGGCAGGGAGAAACAGACCTGAGGACACACAGCACCGTGGAAGGAGCCCGCTGCAGGCCGGAGCCAGCTCTGCAGCTCCCTGGGGGGGAGCTACCCTGGGAGCAAGAGGGTGGCGGGCTGCTGCGCTTTCATTAAGCTCTTGCGTTCCTTCCCAGATCGAAGAGGTCCCTGGAGAGCTCATGCAGGAAGACCTGGCCACTGACGATGTCATGCTCCTGGACACCTGGGACCAGGTGAGTGAAGGACAGCAAGTGAAGGCTCTCTGGCCTGAAGGTGGGGGAGGACCTAGACTTCCAGCTCTGAGGTGGTTGACAGAAGGACTTAAAGAGGCAGTGGCAGCTGTTGCCGGGAAAGTCCATGCTGCTTGCCGCTCCTCCTTTCTGAGCCTCCGTTTCCGCATCTGCAGAATGGGAGTGATGGTAGCTACCTGGCATAACCCAACAAGACGAGATGCAGATTAAACTACCTTGCAAACTGTAAAACACCCGATCAATGCAGATCAGATGAGCAGCATTCTCTCCCGGGCCTTTGGGGGAGTGTGAACTCTTGCTTTAAATCTGTTGGTAAAGAAAGTTGAACCTAACAGCGTGTCATATGCAGGATAACTGTCCAGGGCCACCCGGAGGTTCTGACGTGCATCTCCTGTTTTCGAGGGCTCTGGGCTCTCTCTGCTTCATCATAGGGAAGGCCATCGTGTGAGGACTTGGCAGGGGAAAATGCCATGCATGTATTCAGCCAACATTGGCTGAGTACCTGCTTTGAGGCAGACACTGTTCTAGATGCTGGAGACGGATCAGTAAATAAAGAAGGCATTTCCCTGACCCCACAGGGCTTACATTCTCATGGGGGTGGCAGTCAGTAACCCCGGCCATCAATTTGGCTTCTCCCAGCGTTGTCAGGGTTCTAGATAGCAGCCACGCAGGCACGAGACTCCCATCTACCCTCAGGGCTGCTGCTTGGGATCCCCAGTTGGGAGATCAGCACCAAAATGCTTGCCGCTTGAGCCACTCAGCTAGTGTCACTAACGGCTGCCCTGGCTACTGAATCTGTTTGTTCATCTGTTTATTCATTCACTCCGCCAACATTTATGAAGTGTCTTCCAGGCAAAATGCTGCAGTGCTGGGCACCCTCTGATGAGCAAAGTAGACACCATACCTGCCATGGGGGAGAGCCATGTAGTAGGGAACACATTTGTAAATGGCAGCAATGACATGGCATTTTATTGTCTAATACTGTTTTATCAATGATAGGTGCCCTTTAAAATATTTTAGAGAAACATAAAAATAGACGATACATAAAAATCAGCTGAGTAGGGTTTTTTGGTGTAAGAAAACATGTAATAAGACTCAAAAAGGTGGCAGTGGTGGTGAATTGCTTTGATTCCAAGCTTTCATTAGCTCAGACACACAGCGACGGGCACATAGCAGACTCTCAGTGCATATTTGTTGGTTGAATAAACCCGTGAGCATACGTTTGGCCACTCCCTGTTGAACAAGTAAATACCCATAAAGGGATAATTCATGAACTTCTAGAAAGGGGTCTCAAACTCAAGGCACGTGACTGGCGGTGTCAGTGAGTGAAGCAGGCTGGGATCGGGAGACATGAAGGAAGGGTGGAGTCTGAGGCAAACTGTCTCGAGGGGAAGCCGCTGCTTAGCTTCATCCCCGTAAAGGTAAATAAAGGCTCATGGTGGCCAGATCCTCCAGGTTTTCAAGGGAACTTGGAAATCTAGAAGTAATGTAATGAGCTGGCAACAAAATTTGCCTAAGAGGACTTTGCAGATCAACCAAGGGTGGCGAGTGGGCACTCCTAGGTCACTCGTTTGCATCGTCTGTTCCAAATCCTTCGAGTCATCATCTATGGGCTCTGCCCGGCCCATGGAACCTCCCCACTCCTCCTCCGGTAGTGCGATTTGTCAGCACCCCTCATGCTCTTTTTATTTCACATCTCATCTCCAGGTCTTTGTCTGGGTCGGGAAGGATTCTCAAGAAGAGGAGAAGACGGAAGCCTTGACGTCTGGTGAGGGCCCAAGTCTGCCTGTGGGTCTGTCATGTGGTGGGCTGGGAGCAGCTTCCTGTGTGAGTGTAGGAGTTCCTGAAGTGGGGCGGAGATGTCCTCATTTATTGTCAGCCCCTCGCGAGCCCCACTCAAGCACGTGAAAGAACAGCTCAGTCCCTTCAGGGAGCCTTAGGTCATGCCAGGGAAAGGAATGAACAGATGGAAACTTCTTCAAGTTCCCAGAATGCCCAAGGACTGAACGCGTCAGGGTTGAGTTGTTGGCAGGCAGGTCCCTGGGAGCTGAATGGATATGATTTGGGACCCGGGAACCCCAAAGCTGGCTCTTTAATATCATCTAATAGAGAAAAATGATATGAGCTTTGTGAGACAGGAGGTTAAACAGTGACCCCTGTCCCTTCTCGTGTCGCTGGGCAGGGTCGTGGGGGAGTCATGTGTGCCATGGCTGTTAGGGGTCAGTGGTGTCCAGTGCAGAGTCTGGGCACTAGGGCAGCAGGACCAAACCCCATCTAAGGCAACTCCCGCTGTGCACTGCCCCTCCCTGGTGAGGAAGGCACTAAGGATTCCTGGGTTTCTTTCTCCTGCGTGTGTGTCTGCAGCTAAGCGGTATATCGAGACGGACCCAGCTAATCGCGATAGGAGGACCCCCATCACCGTGGTGAAGCAAGGCTTTGAGCCTCCCTCCTTTGTGGGCTGGTTCCTCGGCTGGGATGACAACTACTGGTCTGTGGACCCCTTGGACAGGGCCATAGCTCAGTTGGCTGTCTGAGGAAAGGCAGGCCCCACCCCTGTCACTGGTCAGTGCCTTCTAGAACTATCCATCCCTCAAAGAGACCTTATAGCAGGGCCACTCTAGTGTGCGTGCGTGCGTGCGTGCGTGCGTGCGTGCGTGCGTGCGTGTGTGTGTGTGTGTGTGTGTGTTACAGTAGCCAATAACAGCCCTGCAAAAATTCAGGGTCCTATCAAAATGGTCTCAAGTGTCTGTGCTTTTGGAAATTGAATTCAATAAAAGCTTTTTTGGAGTGTGTTAGCCTGCTGTGGCTCTGTATGTCCTGGTCATTATTCTGAGACTGTCCCAGGAGGGGCCTCACATGGACCAGTGAATCAGCGAAGGAGCTTCATTCACCTTGTGTGTGGATCCCAGTCCTTCGAGAAGCAGGTGCCAAGAGGAGATGAAGTGTGCACAGACTGTACTTCCTGTGTGAAAGGAAATTGGGAGGGAACCAGGGAAGGCTGGGGAGCCATCAGACCGATCTGCAAGTCTGACCCCAAGTAATGGAGAGGGAGAAAAAGGTGGGTACAAGCATCCTACACAGCCGAGCAGTCCAGGGAGTTTCAGCAGAGCTTCTGGAGGGTTTATGAGCCAAAGTAAAAAAAAAAAAAAAAAAGGTTTTCAGAGCTTTTTCATCATCCCAAACAGAAACTCTGTATTTTTTTTTTCCCCCCCCCCCCCCCCCGCATTCCCCCAGTCCCTGGTAACCTTTATTCTAATTCCTGCCTCTATGAGTCTGCCTATTCTAGGTGCCTTGTGTAAGTGGAATCATATAGTTTTTGTCCTCGTTATCTGGCTTATTTCACTTAACATAATATTTTGAAGTGTCATACATTTTGTAGCATTTAGAAAAATTTCATTCCTTCTCGTGGCTGAGTAATATTCCATTGACTGTATATGGGTAATCCTCCACTTTCCAAAAAGCTCGTGTTAGGCCACTTCGCTTTTACGAAAGACCTACATTCGTGTGGTAACAGCTTTTAGGTAAAGCAAAAATCCTCGGATTTCCTTTGATTAGTGAAAACAGGCTAACTTAGGTCGTTTGTAAAAGCGAAGTGACATAACACCACCTTTTGGAAAGCAGAAGATACTCTTTGCTCAATGCCATTTCTGCTTACGAAAGCTTTCATAGGCACGCTCCCCTTTCGGAGAGAAGGGGAAACCTGTATACCACATTAGGTTTTTCCCCTGATCCATCAACAGACAGTCGGGGCTTTTCCACCTCTGGCTTTTGTGAATAATGCTGCTGTGAACATTGGTGTGCAACTATCTGTTCAATTCAAAGTTGTTAAGCCAAAGTCAAGTCAGTCGGCATAAGAGTTGTGTGTCTCCCCAGGGTGGTGTGTCCCATCCCCCCATTTATACTCAGTTATTGTGAGGCGTGGCCTTGGAGCACTTGTGGAATGGAATTCAAAGCCTGCAGTTGGGGCCTTTTTTTTTTTTTT